TTTCTCACAGATGCTTTTAGTGGAAATCTGACATCTAGTCCCATCCTTTGCTTTGATTTGGACACTTGCGTTTATGCTGCCATGCTAGTTCCTGGAAAGAGCCCAGAAAGATCCTAAAAACAAGACCTCCTTCACAGTCAGGGCTCTGGGCTGGAGCTACTGTGTGCCAGGCAGCCCATGGTAACAGCATTTCTGTTCATCTGTTGCCTGTGGCAAACTCAAAATGATAGACTTTGCTTACTCTGCAAGGAAAGAAACTTAAGCACAGCTGCTTTGACCTGTACTTGCTGCAGGGTTTAGGATGTCCCCGTGGCCCAGTTACTGCAACGAAGGTGGTGCCTGGCAGCGTGAGTGCGTTTGGCAAAGCTCAGCCCTATTCCTTCGTACAGCAGACAGGCACCTTTCTGTGATGCTTTGGCTCTGTCACTTCTTTTATTACTTCAGGTTTTTTTTCCCAGAGTCCTCATTTCATTTTACAAGTGCTTTTTCATAACGGTTTTGAACTTTTCAGGTGCTTTTATGATTTGTCTTCTCTAGTAAGCTTCCAAAATATAATGACATTAAAACTGTCTTTGTCAGTTTTATGCTCTGTCACATTAACCATTCAGGAATCGGGCAAATTAAATAATGGGAAGAATAAACAGCATATCTTAAGTTACTCATTAAAACAGTACAAGACGACAGCAGTTCTGATTGCCAATGATTGTGGTGACAGAAGGCTTGTTCAACTAATGAAATTCATAAAATCTTGGATCAAAATCCTATCTCTGACCTCTAGGTGTGAAATGCAAAACAATCAACATTACTGTGCTTGTGCAATGACTTTGGAATATATTGGTTTAATGACAAGCAGTGATAGCAACAATGCAGAGAATTTTTTGGTCGTGCTGTTCTTGTTTTCAGCGTGCTGCATCAAAAGCATCTTTAGTCATCCAAAGAATCAGACAATTTTAGATAAGATGTGTCTTTGCCTTAATCCCTTAGAAAATAATGCTATAAATCTTCGTTTTAAAAGGTATGAATTGTGAGTTGAGCTGGACATGATACGCATTGTAAAATATCCTGGAAATGCCTTTTCAGGGTATATCAGTTTTGTGTGTCTAACTCAGGCTTAAATCCCTTTTCTAGTTACTTAAACAAATAGAAGACTCTTGTCTCGTCTGCAGATTTTCATTTTTGTCTACATGTTCTGCAACTCTTCTATTTTAAAAACTTTTACGTGGCATCTGTTAAAATAACTGTTGAATCTGAGTATGGAACTAAGAATTAGAAATTTGTGTTGCACTCTCACTCCTCGCTCTTGTCAAGCTGGACCCTGGACCTCTTCTCCTGTTCTTCCTTTCATAGAGAAGACCTTATATAGTCTTAAATGTAGCAAGAATATTTTCAGTGATGGGTTGTGCTGAAGCACTTTCTGTAAGGGGGCTCCGTAAAGCAAACAAATGGAGACTATTTGGAATTGAAATATCTGTTATTAAAAATTTAGCAGGAGTTGCCTATTTTGGGGAAATAGTGTGTTTGCTTTCAAATTGGGTGACCTGACAGAATTGCTGCAGAGCTGAAGGCTGCCTGGCACCTGACATCTCTTATCGAGAAGATGGTTCTCCTCACTTCTTGAATCACATTAAGCAATGTGCCACAGGGCTGCCAAGGGGAAATTAGGCCAGAAGCATCCATCCCTGAATAAATAGGGCAATTAGAACTTTTGAGACCTTGTCTATATCAATAGAGCATCTCCTGGAGGTGAGAGGAGATGATGCCTACTTGAAGCAAGCCAGGGTGGATGTTCTTGTTCCATGCGGACACTCTCTAGCTCCCTCCAGAGTAAAGTCTTTTGAGTCCTGGCCTCAGGTCCCCATTCTGTCCAGAGGCAACTTTGACTTTTGTTTATCTTCAACAATAATACTTTCATCAGGTTGTAATTTCTGTAGCAAAATGCTCTCTGCACCCATGCTGGCTTTTCTTGTTTCCTGTGTGTTGGCAGGCCCCTCCTGCTGTGCTGCTATTCTTTCACTTCCTCCCCAACGAAACTCTTCAAATTTGGGCAAAGAGCAAGATTACGGTCAAGCTTTGGGCTCTCCAGGTTGGTTGTGAGGTGGTACTGGGTCCCTGAAGACTCAGGTGACTGACATGGTGGCTGAGCACACGCCAGGATCTCCGTGTTTGTTTCCCAGGTGTGACACGTGCTGAGCCCAGGTTGATCCCTGCCAAGCCACTGATGGCATGCTGGCAAAGAACACGTTGTCTTGTCTCTTCCCCCAGGTGGTAGCGAACGCCGTGGCTGCCTTGTCAGAAATCAGTGAGTCGCATCCCAACAGCAACCTGCTGGATTTGAACCCTCAGAACATTAACAAGCTGCTGACAGCTTTAAATGAGTGCACGGAGTGGGGCCAGATCTTCATCCTGGACTGTCTGTCCAACTACAACCCCAAGGACGATCGCGAAGCTCAGAGGTATAGTTGTTCCTGCTCTTTGCACAAGTCACTTGGGGTTATTTGGTGGCAGGGCACTTGCAGGCTTGTGGCAACGTTGCAAGTCCAAAACGGGCTTGTAGTAACAGAGGGTCTGTGTTCAGGCTGTAACAGCACAAGTAAGGCTTGAAGGAAAAGAGGTTTAAAAGGAAGGCAAGTTTTGGTAGTTTAGGCTGATGCTGGAAACCTGCCCCTTTGTAGAACCACTGTCTCTGTTTATTGTTTGGGGTTTTTGTTTTTGTTTTTTACTTTCGTTTGAAAGGCTCGTTCTTATTGGAGCTGGCACTACGAAGAAGGGGTCAGCCCAAGACCAAGCCTATAACAATGGGTGACCCATCTGGAAGCACTATTTGGAGGATATTCTATCCTAAAGCAGAGCTTTCAAATCTGATTTTGCTACTTTGGGAGGCAGGAAGCCCTCATAAGTTTGGAGGCTTCCAAAGTACTGCAGATCTGAGACTGGAGTGTTTTTTTCCAACTAAAAAATAGTCTGGTATGATAGAACTGAAAATAAAGGTAAGAAATTATTTTTCTTATCGCTCCAAATTCACCCTGTGCTTTCACCTTTAGCTGCAATGACTGAAGCCAAATACAAAGACCATAAGGTTTAGGTAGTGGGGTGTTAATTCATGCACTTCAAGCCTCCTCCTCATCTGTGTCCAGAATCACAAAAAGTCAGATTCTGTACCCAAGAGAACAAGGAACCAGCAAGGAGAATTCCTTGGAACAGGGGAATTCTCAGACTTTATGTATTTCATGTAGATGACGTTGAGGGGTGGAAAGGCAGGAAGGGGCACAAGCCCACATGCAAAATCCTAGGCAGGCCTTTTTTGGATTTGATGGGTTTCTTCAGTTACTCTTTTTTTGAGGCACAACAGATAATCCACTTTTTTAAAAAAGCTTGCCAGTAGTCTTACTGCTTTTTTTTTTTTGCCTTTTTTTTTTTCCCCCCACTTCCCTCCCCCTTGTGTTCTGTTTCTGTGCCAGAAACAGCTCTTAATGAGTGCTGGAAACCTGCAGAGATCTCCAGAGTGTCAGCCCAGTATTATCATAGCTTTGTCAGAAAGGGAGCGCTAGTTTGAACAACCGTGGACATGTCTGAGTTCGTCATCCGTAATTCCTCTGAAGAGTGGTGTGTGAAACTGGATGGGCAGCAACTACGTTTACTCCTTTGTGTGGAGTTTGACTCTTGGAGCCTGCCTTATTTCACAGAGGAGAATGACAGCACCTAGTTTTGTACAGTGTGCTGTACATCACCGTGACAGCACGGCTGGTGTCATTGTCCCTGTGCATGGAGAAACTGAGGCACAGAGAGACAAAGCAGCTTTGGCACACCAGGTGACCTTGGGCAGCAGCAGCTGGGGACAGCCCCCGGCTTCTACTTACAAACTCCTCTGCTCTTTCACTTCGCCATGCTGCTTCCCTGCCAGGGTGGCTGAAAGCAAATCTTTCAGGGAAAGGATCTTTAGGAGGCACAGATGGGAATAAGATTGTTCTGGGTTAGCAATATGCAGGAGGGGGTGGGAAGAAACTTGACAGATGCTGTAAGAAAGACCATATGAACCCAAACTTCCTTTCTGCTTGGAATGGGTTGTTTAGGATGCTGTTGACTATAGGATCCACTGAGGCAAGTGATGAAG